CTCTCTCTCTCTCTCTCTCTCTCTCTGTGTGTGGTATGTAAAGAATATTCTCAAAAAATGTCTAGCATATAGTGTTAATACCTATATTCCTGGTGTTGTTTTAGAATGGAATTTTACAAACTAAACAGACTCTCTTTATTGTGCTCAAAAAACCCAAGAATGGAAGGTGCCTTAGAAGCAGCAAGCATGAAAATAACCTAGGGCATAGTGGAAGGTGGCTCTCATGTGTTTGTTCAATCCATCTTTGATGACATGGAGGAATGTGTCCTATGATCCCGAGTGGCTTCTTTTTCTGAGCTAACCTGGCACTTTTAGGATAAAGTAGTTCTTGTTCATGGTTTTGTTTTCTATGGTTTCAGTTCCTTGATGTCACCCAAAGTCTGAAAATAATAAATGGAAAATTATGCATTTTGGGAGAAATAAAGATCATATTCAGGTATCTTTCATTGTAACCTTTTGTTATGTTTCATTAATATCTTACTGTGCCTAATTTATGAGTTATACTTTACCAGAGAAGAAAGCTTAGTGAATGCAGAGTTTTATACTAGCCAGAGATTAAGACATCCACTGAGGGTCCTAGACTGCATCCCCTGAGGATGCTGGGGTAGATTGTACTGATGTTGAGTTTTGGACATCTCATTTAAGAATACACTGACACAGGGCTGAAGTTTCAAAGAGGTCTGATGTGAAGTTTTGAGGAGACGGACTGAGAAACTATGGGACACTGAGTTCTTTGATTACCGGGCACATGGACAAGGGGACACTTGTGATCTAGGTTCTGACATCCAAAGTAGTACTGTGGTAGAAACGAAGAATGTGGGCAGCATCCAGAGATGTTCTAAGGCAAATGGGTATCAGTATGTGTGTGTGGCGTGTCTTATCTTCCAGGAACGCAGGTGCAGCACAGTGGTCTGTGTGTGGCTTAGGTATGACAGCAGGACTACATTCACTGCAGGCTGGTTAGATCAAGCCATGCCACAGAGATCTGGTGTTCTGAATCTATAAGGAGCCAGGAAACTGGGGATAATACCTTGGTTTCAACACAAGATACATGAGCTACCCTGAGTGAACATTGCCATTCCTTGGAGCTCATCTACTTCTGATACTTTGAGAGTTGGACAGATTTCCTGCAAGGTTTTGTTAATTCGTACATCCTGCTACCACTGACATTGAGATGTCTGCAGAATACTGATCTTCTTTCATGAGACCAGGACCAGGGCTTAGGAAGTGGCTGTGTTAATAAGGGTACGTGTGGTGTCTGTAGCAATTACTTTTGCAATACCTGCCCCAAACAACTTAAGGAGGGAAAAATTTATTTTGGCTCTTGATTTCAAAAAGTTTCATTCATGCATGCTGGGGAAGGTATGGTGTCAGGAGCATGTGATAAAGACTGTTTACATCATGCTGGACCAGCAAGTCAAGAAAAGGATTGTTGATGCTTGACCAGCTTTCTCCTTTCTCCCCCTTTATTCAGTTTGGGTTCTTTCATGGGATGGCATCACCCATATTCAAAGTGGTATTCCTGCTTTCAGTGAATGGAAACTCTCTTACAGACCTGCCCAGAAAGTGCCTCAACCCCTGAGGTGGTTCCACAACCCGTCGAATTGATCATCACAGGATCCTCATGTTTTCTAAATCTAGCCCCATTTTATCTGGATTGCTTTGTTCTATATTTTGATATTGACTGCATCTGACCATGAGAAAAGCCATATTACCTTTTGGTAAGGCTTGTGTTTGCAGGGAGGAGGGAGGGAAACAATTTCAGGGAATTTTAAGCAGTCATTTGGTGTTTAATTTTTCTCCCTTCTTGTTCTCCCACCCGAGAAGGTTGCAACTGTCCTTTCTTGGACTGCAGTTTTGACTATATCAAGCAGATTGCTTGACTCTCTAGATAAAAATTCAGCCCATCCCTTATGATGACTGCTTTTGTACCCCCAATAGAGGGCTCCATGGCAAGAGACCTGGCCAGTCTGTCTGTTGGAGCACTACCCTAAAGGTGGTACTAAATTGGGTCATAAGTGGGAGTTTAGAAAAAGTAACAAATTCCAATAACTGGGTTATTTAAAGTAGAATAGGGACCAAAGAATAGCACGAGCAGGAATGTGGAGGGTCCTCTAGGGGTGGGCAAGGGTGCCTGTGAGTGCTGAGTGTGGTCGTGGTAGTTTTTGTGAGTCCCCACATAGGGTTGGGCTGACTGTATCTTCCTAGAAATGTTGAGTTAGATTCAGTTCTTGATGCTGAGCTATGATATGAATGATGTGATCAGGCTCTGCCCAACTCCACAGAGCCTCCATCAGTGTCCTCTGCCTGTCTGCTTCTTCCTAAGAACAGCAATAATATGGAACACAGGCATAAAGAAAGTTTTTTTCCACCAAACACCTCACAGGTTACTTGATAGGTCTGCCTTTTGGATGAAATGCAAACATACTACATTTGGCAAAGCTGCTGACAGGACTGAAACTTCTCTTACTTTAGAAGAAGACAAATGTAAGTACTTATTTTGGATGCTGGCCTCAGTACCAAGGACAATGAAAGATACTTTAAAGAGATACTTCCGCGTTAGGGAAGAGGAGGGTTTGCATCACATAGACTTGCATTCTTTCTCTGTGAACATGCCTCTCTCCTGGTTCTAAATGCTCCATGAAAGCATCCTTTGAGACTCTCATCCACACTGAAGAGACAATTTGAGATGACAACAGCTTTCCACAGCTTGGAGGGATGCTGCTGAGGAGTTCGCAAAGAAAGCCATAGCTTCAACTCAGCTTGAAGCATGGCTCTGAGAGGTTCACATATGGTGCCTCAACTGTTAGCACTTTTTCTGTTTTGTGATTCATCTTTAGACTGGAAAAATAACTCTTCTTCCTACAGTATCTGTGACTGGCAACTCTTTGAAGGACCCGGATGTGTGAACTTCTTAGGAAAATGGAGTGTATCTGAAAAGAGGAGGCTGTGCTACTTGCTTTCATTGTTTTCAGCAGCATTTACTATGTCTCTGTAGCTGAAGTGTATGCAGGGCTCGGTATTCTCAAATGTACCAATCATGGGTGCAGATTTGGCTCAGTCAGAATTGCCTGAATGTTTCCAAAGGCGATACTGGCCAGAAATCTCCAGGAACAACAACAACAAAAACCAAAGAAACAAACAACAAAAAAAAAACAAAACAGAGTTGGGACATCAGAATAAGCCTTTTGAAAACTAGTCATCGATTCTCCACAGCATTGAAGCATATGCATGGATATGTACAGGGATCGACACAAAAAAGGACAGAGGAGTATGCTCACAATGGATAATGATAGACTGTCTCTCTTGTGACTATTTGTGTATATACAATGGCAGCACAATGAAAATTCATGGGACAAGTTGTGCTATAATTGATTGCTGTGAATCTCATGGACCGAACAGTGGTCACACTATGGAGATGAGTCACTAGATATCCTATCTTCACTCTGAGATCATACTTCCTTCCTTTAAACTTTTTACTGATAGAAAGTGCCTTACTGGGTCACGTGAAGGTGACGTGTTCTCTTGTCTCACATACTATGATGCACTACGCTTCATGTCAGCTGGCATTGCTAGTCTCAGCAGTGAATGGACTTTGGTGCAGCGTGTTCTGAGAACAAGCATGTTGTTGTCTCCATGTGGCACTGTTGCACAGATGAGAGGAAAATTGCTATTTTCCGGGAATCTTTCCAGAAGCAAAAGTACTCTGCCCTGCAAAATGCAACCAGGGGGATTTTGTTACTACAAAGAGGTGGCAGGGACTTAGGGTGATGCCAAAGTTTAGCCACGCACATCTTTAGAGGCTGAAGGACATGGGGAAGATGAAGCTCAGGGAAAGCGGCAGGATGCCCTAGCTGTAGTCAGGTTCTCTGGGTGGAGAGACCCCAAGGGAGAGAAGGGAATTCCGTGACCCTCAAGGCTTACATCATGTCATGAGTGAGTCCCCACGGAGCACCTCTTTTCTGCCCCCTCTCTAGTATCACGATAGAAGTCCCTAGAAAGAATTCTATCATTGAACAGCAGTGTGATTTCCAGCCTGGGTCTGGAACCCTATATTAGCTACTTTTCTGTTGCTGTGATAAAACACCATGACCAAGGATCCTTGTAGAAGGGATAATTTATGTTGTGGTCCCAGAAGGATAAGAGTCCATTGTGGCTGGGAGGTATAGCAGCAAGTGACAGGGATGGTGGCAGAATCAGGAGGCTGAGAGCTTGCACATTGAAACATGAGAACCCAGAAGAGAGTGAGCTAGAAGTGGGGTGAGGCTTTAAGCTCTCAAAACTTCACCCCCATCCCATGACACACTTTCTCCAGCTTGCCTGCATCTCCCAATGGCCTCTCCCGACAGTGCTATCAACTGGGGAACAAGTGTTCAAATGCCTGAACCTTTGGGAGACATTTCTCGTTCAAACCACCGCACAATGTGAGAACAGTCCCTGTGCATAGGGCTCCTCTGGGTGTTAGGGGCATGAGCATAGCGATAAGTGAGCAGTGATGACCCACAGGGGACACGGCTCTCGGGATCCTTCCAAACATCCTCCCATCCCTTACTTCATTAAAAATTAGCTTATTTTTATGTGTGTATATATTTCAACTACATGCATGTCTGTGTACCACGTGCATACCTGGTTCCAGTAGAGGCCAGAAGGTGTCAGAGTTACAGACAGTTGTGAGCTGCCATTTGGGTTCTGGGACTAGCGTTATAGACAGTTGTTAGCTGCAATGTGGGTGCTGAGAATTGAACCCAGGTCCTTTGGAAGATCAGCCAGTGCTCTTGACTGCTGAGATATCACTCCAGCCTCTGTGTATTCCTTACTTTAAATGCTCATTAAGACAATTACTAGAGAAGTGAATAATTGGCTAGGCTTATAGTAACAAAATAAAGATATTAATTCCCTCTTCATGGTTCTGGAAGCTGAAGTCCAAGATTAGTCATGGGTAGGGTTGTTTTTTGTTTGTTTGTTTTTGTTTTTTCTGAGACCTTGTCTCTTACTTTCAGATACCATCCTGAGATAGCTTTTTACATGGTCTATATGTATGGATGTCCTAAGGAACTCTTGTGAGGACACCAGTCACATTGGATCAGGATTGTCCCTAATCACTTCATTTAACATGAATAAACTTGGTAAGGACTCTCTGACTTCAAACACTATTATGTTCTATGGTACTGAGGTTTGGGGCTTCAGAGAGTTTTAGGGAAGAGGCACCTTTCAGTCTACAACAGTAAGGATAATCTTTACCTATGGATCTGATATGTGGTTAATAGCTTCCCTGACTGGCCTTCAAGCCCTCTACCATCTCTGTACCCCAGCTTCCCTGTGCCAACCCAGCTGCCAAGTCAGGGCACTGGATAGAGAGGAAACAGTAGACAACATGGCTTGGTTTTTAGTAAAAGAATGCTCCAGAACACCCCAGGTGTAATACAGCTCTTTACATGATCCAAACCTGGTTTCTTCTCTCCCTTTGTGATTAATCTTCCAATAGAAACGGTGAGCATTCAAGAGAATGGGAAAGAAAAACTCGAGGGAGAGCTGGGTATGGTATATACTGTTGAACAGATTAGATCTGAGGGGAGAGGCGAGCAGAGCCATCTTAAAGCTGGAAGAAACCTTTTCACATAGAGATGCACACGTAAGATGATCATAATTTCTGCGTCAGGAAAGAACTGTGTGATTGGATGGTGGAATCTTCTACCTTCTGCCTTGAATGGTCATGGTCTGTGTGTGTGTGTGTGTGTGTGTGTGTGTGTGTGTGTGTGTGAAGTGAACATGAAGTGAAGGAGAAGCGTGGACACAGGCTCCCACAGCAAATAATCTCAACCACAAAAATGTCAAGCTACATACTGTCCAGTACAAACCAAACCATCAGTGATGCAAAGATGAATGACAACTGAGTTCTGTCTTTCCAAACAGTGGTGGAGACAAGTTGGCTGAGCTGCCTAATTTGCACGTGGGAAACATGAGTCTGGATGGTTCAAAGTCAGATCCATACTTGGAATTTGTGGGAGAAGTGGAAACAGAAGCTGTGCCCATCTGCTCCTAGCCAATACTGTCCTGTCCTGGAGGAGTATCCTTAGTTGTGCCATCCTGTCTCTCAGAAATGGTAAGTTTACTGTTTAAAAATTGGGCACTTTACTTACTAAGTAGGTGTCAATTACAGATATTTTGTTGCTGTTTTCCTGTTTGTTTTGTTTTTGTTCTTTTCTAAAGAGAAAGAGAGGGAGTAAGGTTGGGTCAGTGGGGGAGGATCTGGGAGGAGTTGAGGGAGGTAAAAGTGTGGTCAGAATATATATGAAAAGTTTTTAATTAAAAGAAGAAAAATAGGCACTTTAAATTAAGTAATAGAATAAAAAGCAAACAGATTTTGAAGTGATCTTTAAAAATTAGGCAGTTTCAGAATCCTTAATTACCCATTCAGCCACTGGATGAGTTTTTAGGAGTGGAAGGCTATGGTGTGTCTGCAATGTGATGCTTATTTGAAGATGTCCCCGTCACCTCAATTATGGTTTCTTTTTATCCCTCCTTTATTTCATCCTCCAATGCAAGCAAGTAGCGAAGGATTTTTTTTCTCTCTCTACTATTGGTGAACCTTCAAGAAAATGTATGTTTAAAGGTTCAGGACCAACTTGAGTGTGGAGGCTCACTTAGGTGGCTGAGGCAGGAGAATCACTAAAAGTTAGAGGTCTGCCTAGGCTTCAGAGTGAGATACTGTCTAAAAAAAGAAGACAAACAAAAGGGGGCCAGTTTTGTGTTTAAGGTACAAACAAACTAACTCAAGTGACATCTTTGCCTAGGAGCCACCTAACTATGCTGGTGTCTTTTTTGTTCAAAGTTCCTGTTTTTCATTTTCTGTTAGCATAATGTTTTCTAAACAAGACAGGGGTATGGGAATCCAGTTAGTGGGCTTCAATATCCAGCACTGGCACAAAAAATTTATTTTAATCTCATTTCTTTAATAGAAGAATTAAAGTAAAACCCCATGCTTCATCAATAGCAAACATTCTACTGACAGTCAATGAAAAGAAAATCTATTCATCCTCAAAATTTCACTAACAGATTACTTAAGAAGCCAGAATTTCCAGTTCGGCATGGGGTTTCCCGTAGATTACATCCAGACGCTACCTCTGTGCACTATGTAAACAGCAAACGATAAGGAAGAGAAACAGTTCCTTTTTCCTCGTTGAGCAACCCCACAACGCAGAAGTGATCATTTTTGTTCAGAAAGAAAATAAGAGAAAGCAGCATTTTCTCAGGGATGATTGTGAGTGTGGCCCAAGGCCCCTTTGCATTCCAACTTGGGTTTCCATGTCTCAGCTCTATCTGGTCACTGCTTTGGTGGCAGCTGTCTACCAGGTCACCCTACTGTGGAGGCCAGGGAACTTGACTGCACATGGAAACCTTTTGGCGGACCGCAAGTTTCTGCAGGCCACACCCAGGGAGGCAGCGGGAGCTGATGAACAGGAGACAAGACCAAACGCTATAATAACACAATGCAGTGTGTAATTAAGCAATTCCTGTGATCTCAGACCAAGGGTGTTTGTTATTGTTTTGACCTTCTTCACCCATGTGTCAGCTGGCAGCCTGGCCAGAGCTGTCCTACAGCTGAATCTACACAAACAACTCCCTGTTACCCTTAGCTCACCTTCCTGGTACAGAGCCAGGAGCTTGGCTGCTCCCCTTGAATCACAAGATCCCAGATCCAGCACCTGCTTTCCTTGTAGCATCACGAGGAATGCCAGACCTGTGTAGTAAGAGGGGGGCTTATGTGGATGCAGGGGAAGATCCTGGGAGGATTGTAAAGACCTTTGGGCTGGAAAGTCAGAATGGAGTGCTCTTTCTTGGTATGGTGAGTTTCCCGGGTCTGCCACTTCATACACAGAGACTTAGAACAAGGGGTGTAGGTCCTACTGCCACTGCAGAGTTGAGCATGGGGCGCCAACCCCGTGGTGGACCCCGTGATTCACACCTTAGCTCTACCACTTGATTGCTATGTGACCTCACCTGTTCACATTTCTTGACCTCCCTGAGCCTTCATTTCCAGGCATGCTGTGAAGGAATTGACTCAACAGGAGAGTGCAGGCTTAAATAGCGTTCCTCGTACAGCCTCCTTCTGATGACTCTGGGCTTCAGTTTCTGCAAGATAAATAACTGAACTATGGTTTGCATGTAACAGACTTCACTCTACAGACTAGTTTGAAAATGGGGTCCTGGCTGCTGCTTTGTATACAGAAAGACAGAGCTGTGCACCCCAGAGGTGTCCAGCACATAGGGAATTAGAATTCAGGGGACCTTGGTACTGATACTTTGTTCACAGTATTTGAGCCTGGATAGGCTGAGCTACTGGGAACTCTGGGGGAATTTGTTCAGGTCTGGAGGACACTCCCTATGTGTCCTTGTGAAGGGAGGGGAAATGGTTCTAGGACTCCAGTGGACACCAAATGCTGGGATGCTCATGTCCCTTCTGGAAAATGACATGATTTGGAGAACTCACACACCTGCCTACCTAACATCTCACTCACTACTGGATCAGTGAAAATCGAAGGGATGACATTTTACCTGCACTGCACAGGTGGCAGGCAGAGAAAGACTGAGTGCGGTTTCTTCCCTTGAGTGGTTTTGATCCGGGGTTGGTTGGAGCCTTGGATATGTTTGGAACTTAAGATGTGGAGGGCTGACTGTGTTCTTACTGTTGCCACCTGCTAACTTTTTTGGTGTTTGGGAGGTAACAAAGCATTACCATTCAGGGCTCTGGGTTTGTATCTGGCTTTGCTCAATATTTGTAGTCTGACCTTATGTGAGCCAGTCTGTCTTGGTTTCCTGGTCTATAAAATGGAGAAAAGTGACAGAGTGACAAAGCTCTTGTAGATGAAAGGGTCATTACAGTTGTTCGGTGACAACACAAGTCATTCCCATGGGGCATCAAATCAGGCCCCACTAATCTCACCAGTCCACACAGGGCTTGGCAGCTGTGTGTTAGCTTCTGACAGAACACAGGCCATTCTGTACAGGGTGGAGCTCTGCTCTTCATTCTGAGGGACAAGAACTATATCAGGCATTGGAGACCAGAGCAGCTATTATTTATGGGATGTAGAGAACCATCAGGTTCCTTAGTGCCCGAGATGCATACACTTTTTGTATTTTTTTTCCAGTGGTGGGGTCTGCATCCAGGATTTTGGACATGCTAGGCAATTTCTCTACCATTGAGTTACATCCTAAACTAAAGAGATCTCTTTAAAGGAAAGAACATGAAGCTATAGTGCTGAGGGCAGGAACAATTGCCATTTCTCAGGTAAGGAGGCAGTTCCTCACAGGGCCACATGTAACACAGTTTGAGATTTGAACCCCCTGCAAGTCTAGTGCCCAGATCTGGACCTCAGACCACTGTTTTTTCCTCATTAAAAAGACATCACACTTTTGGAGTTATACTACATGTTGCTACCTGGCCCACGCACATTAGTTTCCTAGTCTGTGAGTAAAGCAACTCCTCCATGAGGCCTGGCATCATGGTTTCTCAGCTTTGAGGTGGTACAATAACTGTGGGCAGCCAACACATCCTGCACTATGAACTTTGAATTCAGAAATTCTTTTCTCAGGATGATGAGAGGCAACTCTGACCTGTCTCATTCCATGCAGGTGGTGGCAGTGGCTGAGGCTCTTGGACATGTGATGAAGCCACAGAAACCACAGTGCTGCTGAGCAAAGATAATGCTTACAACTTAGCCCCTGGTGAGGCTACCAGGACACAGCACAGGGTCCCCATCTCCCATATCAATGTTTGCAATCTCACCTCTTGGCCTGGAAAGACTCTAGTCCTTCCCTGCAGCTTCCCACTGCTGGTGATCACAGGTTCTCCTATCACACAGGGATCGTGTTAATACTTGTTTATCACAGGGTACTGTTGTGAAAGGCCCGAGAAAGCACACAGAGCCCCTAAAACTGCCCTCATTATTAGGCTTAAATCCACCCCACTAGACGGTCCCACCCTTGAGTGACGTTTGTTCTTCTAAAGAATGTGCAACAACCACTGCTTACAGGATAGAACATTATGTCCACTAGGCTTTTAATATAATTCAACAATTAAAAAAGTATTTTTACAGTACTAGAGATGGAACCAAAGGCTTCCTAAGTGCCAGCATCTTTGTAGCTTTGCATGGTTCCTCTTTTTCTTCATCACTTATGCTTTGCAAAGGAAATGCTGTTGCTTTTCTGCCTCTGGTTCATTTATTGGACCAACTCACTGAAAAGTGCTTAAATCATTGTTTACTTTTTTTATGGTTAACTTATATTTATGATAACCTAAGTTTTGAAGGTTATTTCAATTGTTATAATTTTATCTTAGTGAAAATTGGCATATTTTAAAATTACATATGACCAATTATTGAGTCTTAGCTGTTATTTATGTGATCTGAGCCCCAACCCTTGGGAGATATATACTTCACAACTTCTCACTCCAATAATGTGTCTTACTTTTTCATTTTCTGAAGTATGTCTTTTGATGGAGAGAAGCCTTACATTTTAATAAAATCTAGTTTTAAAATAATTTAATATTTTTCTATGAAAAATTTTTGCTCAAGTCACATGAATACTCCTACAACTTTTCTTTTGAAAATTTTGTTGTTTTAGCTTTTACATTACCCAAATTAATTATATGGGTATGTGAGAAAGAGGTTGAATACAATTCCATCGGCAATGTGACCAGTTATCACTATAATTCTTCATTGGATTGCATTGATATGTTTAGGAAAAAATGAAAACCATTTTCTGTCTTATCTCCCTATGCCACCCATATACTCTGGATTGCTATTCAACTTGAAATTTGATTTTATAAAGCTTCCCATTTCTTTAGATGATTTGCTATTTTAGGTCCTTTGAACTCCTGGAGAAATTTTAGAATAATCTATTAATTTCTATAAAATCCTTTTGGAATTATAAATCTATAACTCTTATGATATTGAGTCTTCCAATCCATGAAAATGGTATATGTTTCTTCATTTATAGTTTTCAGTATAGTAATCATGTACCATTTTGAGTGCAAAGTAATATTTATTTTATGTTGGTTGATGTCAATGTCAATTACTTTGAATAATTTTCCAACTGGTTATCAAGTATTAAAATTATACCAGAAATTTGCAAGTTGATCTTGTATGTTGAGATATTGATAAATTTTCTTGAGAGTGTCAGTGGTTATTTAAATAAATCATAAATAGTAAATCATGATATCATCTGTAGATAGTTCCCTTGCTCCTTTCCAGTCTTCATGTCTTTTTTTGTTTGTTTGTTTCTTTTTTTAATCTTAACGCAACAGCAAGGACTTCTAGTAAGATATTTCAGTGTGATGATGAGGGTAACTTCCTTGAATTCTCCAAATTAGGACAGAAAGAAAAGCATCCAATATTTTACTTAATTTTATTTATAGATTCTCTTTATAAGTTGTGGGAAATTCCCTTCCATTCCCAGTTTTCTAAGAGAATTTAAAAAGATTAATGCCTGTTAAATTTTTCTACATAAATTTATATGGTCCTATATTTTAGTTGCAATTTGTTTAACTGCCTGGCTTTTGAGATAGATATTTCTAAATATTTTATCTTCTTTTATTTTCAGAATACAACTCTGAATTGAGAAGAAATTGAGAGTTCAGTGAATTTTGAAGAACAAATCAAATCTGAACTAAACAGAGACAAACTGAAGAAAGCTCATCAAAAACCAATTATTTGAGCCTTGTTGAGTAGGTAACATTTAGATCAAGTTATTTATTTATTTATTTATTTATTTATTTATAATTCCAAAGTACAGTGTTTCATTTCTTCCCCAAATCCCTAGACAGCCCTTCTCCTTTCCAAATAACATTGTGCTAGAGATGTTCATTACCTATTAGATGAAGTCTAGAGTAACTCATGGCCAATTTGCTTTAGAACCATTAGTCACTCACATTGCAGACCACCTCCTCCAAACTAAATCACTTGTTACAGTTTGTACCTTCCTTTCTGTACTCAGCTCTGATGCTCATGGTTAATAGTCATCACTGTTAGTACTTCAGCGTTTCATCTCGCCACAGGATCACTCAGTTATGAGATTTTATAGCCTGACAGAAATAAAGTTTTATTTTATGAATCATTTTACACAAGCAAACAAATCATTTTGTTGGTCAAGGGTGTTTCATCATAATGATGGCAAGGGATTTTTGGATTAGCTAAATGATGGATGTAGAACTCGATATGTCATGGCAGATCTCTGGCATAATCTTTTTAGTCTTTTATGAATGGTCATATTCACTGTGCACCATGTAAGTGCCGAGTGGCGATTTACTTCAATATTTATGAAATCTCCCAAATGTTTAAAGGCATCAGAGTTAACATGCTCACAACCCATTTTTGTTCTTTGACTCATTTAAAATAAAAATCAGTATCACAAATGTTTTAGAGAAGTCTCCATACTAGACAATGCATCAGGCACTATTGGGTCATTAACTTACAATAGGTCCCATGCTTATCAGATTTTCCCTGGGTCATAAAATTTGAATATTCCTTCTATTCCATAGTATGATTTCAAGGGCATTTTATCTTTAGTAAGGGCAAATAGTCTTTTTGCTAATTTTCCTTCCATATGATAAACATATGGAAGATAAAAGATGATTTTTTTCTATCTAGAATACATTTTGATGCAAGAGGAGTACATCTTGGGTACCAGGGACTGAATGGACTAATGGCCAGCAGGGCAGGATGTAGCCTCTTCCTAGATAACTTTGGGGGAACTCCTCCAGAATGTACTGTGTTTGTCTGGCTGTAATAATATTCCAAGGAAGTAAGTGTGAGTGTGTGTGTGTGTGTGTGTGTGTGTGTGTGTGTGTGTGTGTCTTTATCAGGCAATGCATTAGTTATTGCTTAGCATCAACACAGCAAACACACATTATATCACAGTTTCAGAGGAGCAAGGAATATGAATGTGTTTATCTGGGTGACCATAGTTGAAGTTCTTAATCATGTGCAATGAAGCTGTCAACAGGCCGTCATAACATTTAGGAGCGTTGTTAGTGTATACTATGGTATTTTGAAATAAGTATTTATGTGGAATTGCCATGCTGACCTGACTAACATACACTTTATCTTTATACCTACCATTTTTAAAGTATATGTGATGAGAAATCTACTTTCTTATCAGTTTTCAAGTTCATTATCTATCTCAAAATAACAACTCTCTATCAGATCTCATGGTTACAACAATGCTATATTATTTCAAGGGGATAATTATAGGAAGAAAAATAAGACTTTTAAAAACCCATTTGCTTCCATTGTAGGTCTTACTCTGAGAAGATAAACATTTGTAGATTGTAAGCCAGTCATGCAATGTCTTCATGATATCCTCTGGAAAGGACATGGCAGCAGCTGTTTTAGGGGTCCTCATTTGAAGAGACAAAAGGGAGGCCTGAAGAAAGGAACTGCTTGCCTGAATTTGTCAAAGAGCAAGGAGGAGGTTGACACTCACCGTGCGTCATGTCATACATGGTCTACAATAACTGCATCAGGGCAGCGCCCTGGGTCACCCTCATTTTAGAGGTGACTCAATTGAGGCTAAGGAACTTGCCCAGAGGTCATATGGTTAGTGTGTGATCAGAGCTGACAATTCAGCTCAGTCAGGCTCCTAAACCTATTACCTTCACCAGCAAAGACACTTGATCCTCCTCCCTGCTGCTGCTGGTGTGTTGGTGTGGGCTGGTACAACTCTTCAGGCAGTGCCGCAGCTCAGGTGGTTACTGACAGGACTTTGTGATAGGATGAGGTTCATACTATGGGGCCTATAGGGATGCTTCAGTGAGGATGTTGAACTGATGCCAGTGATGACCCCCAGCTCAGCAATAATAACAGGGCCCTCTGATCCCTTGTTCCTCCTGGCTTTTCTGTGCCAATATGGTAGCTCTTGGCTGTGGGTTAAGTGACGTGGAGAATGCAGCTGTGTCAGTGCCTTTTCCTCACTTCCAAGGATCTCTGTGAACAGCTGGTCCACAGCCTCATTGCCCTTTTGGCTCCCTCTGCCTACTCATAGTACAATAGTTGTCCCAAAGTGGTTTCATGTTCTGAAGTTTTAGCTGTCTGTGATCAACTCAGGTAAAAATTATATAAATGAACAGCTGGCAGCCTAAAGCTACATGTCTCTCTCCATCTCATCGTGTAGGCATGGATGCATTGCATCCCAAGGAGCCAGGCACAGTATGGCAGGAGGAAGACCTTCTGAGACACCACAATCATGTAACATTTATTGTGCATTGTAAATATTTCATTTTAATTAGTCGTAGATATTTCTCTTATAGCACCCAACTTATAAATTAAAGCTGATTGTAGTTATGCATGTAGAGGAAGGAGTATAGTATTTGTATGGTCTGGTTTTATCTAAGGTTTTAGATATCCATGGAAGTTTTGGAATGTACATTAGGGAGCACAGCCCCACCCTGGCCGGAAGGAAATTCTGAAAGTCAAATGGTCTTAGCTGTACATGAGAATAGCCAAGTCCCCAACTATTGTTAGCTCCATGGAAGAGGCTGCTCAGTTGAGGCCTTTGATGCTTGGGAATTTGCCCAGAAGGTACTTTTATTCCTCCCCACACACCACTACTCCTGCTACTCTTTTACTTATTTGGAATGTAATTTTGTAGACAATTCTTAATGTCATAAAGATGATAAAATTATCCAGACCACACTTTTCTCTTGTAGAATTCCAAATTTAACTTTTCTCAGTATCCACTCATTTCATACTACATAATTTAAGGTTTTAACAGATATGAAACTTTTTCCTAATTTTTTCTTGTGTTCTATTCACTATATGTATTTTCATTCTCTAAAATAGTCCAGTGGGTAGAGGTGGAAACAGAACTGGACAAGTGTGTGTGTGTGTGTGTGTGTGTAGACACAGAGTCTCTGAGAAGGTATCTATCATAGGCCTCATTGTGCTGAACTAATGTTAGCTCTTGGTTCTAAGTTGTTGACAGATAAGCACATTAGCAGGACAAGAGATGGCCGAACAAACAAGAGCAGGCTCAGTTATGTGAAGAAATAAAACAACTAATTTCACATGACACACTCTATGAAGCCTAATCACTATTGTGCCCAGGATAATAGTCCTAGAGACACTAACTCTCCCAAGAGTCTGCAATTAGGGCAAACTTTACAGAGTGCATATGAACCAACAAGACCGTGGTTTGCCTTTAGATTGGTACCTGTTGCTGGGAAAAAAATAATCTTTGCCCCTGACCACTCTGTGCTGTTTTCAGTAACCAATACTTCCTCACACATGCTGGCTTTCATCCTCACCCAGAGGCCTCGTCCATCTTTGACAGTCTGCCCCCTCCCTGATTGCTTTTCTGATGCTCTCTTGATCTTGCCATAGGCCTTAGCTTCTCTAAGTTTCATGATATTTGCAGCCTCTGCTTCCTGAGCAGGTTACCTGAAAACTCTGAAGCAGGGATGACTTGTAGTGTTGGGGGAGAGGAATTGAGAAGCTTGGGGGTTTAATTGGAAGACCCTGGCTCTGCCTTGAGTCTGAATTAACTGTGGAAATGCAGAGCTCATACCTACAGGCTGGGACCCAAGCAAGGGAGCCTGCACCGCCTCCAGCAGCACTTCAGGACACAAGTAGCTCTCATAGCTGTTTTCTCTGAAAACTGATTCTTCCAGAACATAATCAGGCATGACAGGATTCGGATTCAGAACTCCCTTCTCCCCGGAATTCACTGAAAATTGCTAGATTGGATGAAAAGAAAGTGCTTTCCCTACCTTTGGTTCTTGTGTGGAACAGATCTGCAGCACACTTGCTCCTTCTCGGAGGATCTATCTACCCTCCCCATTACCCAAGTCAGGGCCTGGTGTTTCCAGATTCTTGGCATCCTATTCAAGAATGAAAGAGATGCATGTAGATTGTAGAGTAGCAAGGAAACTTTATCTAAATTACAGTGACTAAAGCTTAGAAAGGAATACACAGTTAAGATCCGCAACAGCCCACATGGCTGAGGGAACCCAAGGGCCCTGTTCATTATTTGGAGCTTCATTTTGTGGTGTTTAAGAGAAGTTGGGTTATTAAAGGCCACAGTTTTGGTGATCTTTATTTTGATTGGCAGATGAGGTTATATTACCATTTCCCTATTGTACACAACCCTTCCCATAATATATTTAATTATTTGCATGCCAAATTATTTGTAGGTATATGATAATAAATACTGTGTTTCACCTAACAGTTCTCTTAGAGGACATACTTTGAGTATAAGTGAAGAAGGACTGAATATAACCAGTCTAAGTTTGAGGTTATTAATGGGAAAAGAGACTTATGCCATTGTTTAGAGTAGGGTGTGCATTTAGCTTGATGCCTGCAAGGGTCATAGGTTGCTTGGCACATTGTTTGGAGAGGAGTTTGTAAGTGTAGGTCATGCAGGTAAGGGTCTCAGGCTGCCAAGTACATTTGCAGAAGGGTATGTGAATAGCTAAAGTCAAGCAGAGTTCCAGGTTGCTAAGCTATTCCCTGTGCTTGTCTGCCTTATTTTCAGTCAGTTCTCAGCTGCAGCAGAAACAAAATCAGACTAATTCCATAAGAAGATCTATGTTTTCAAAAGTAAAAGGGAAAGAACAGCCTCTCTATGAGTGCTGGAGGGCCAGTGTCATAGACTGCAAGGCCAGGATCAGTTTTAAAGATGACATTCTGGCTGTGGACAAGGTTATATGAACACAACAATATACCCATAGTCCTGTTATCAAGGATAGATGTCACCTCTGCTAGACTGGATGAGTGACATTTCTGTAGGCTAGGGGGATCTGTGGTAAGAGGATACCAGGTTCCACCTATCTCTTTGAATCATAAGCTCCTGAGTCGTGCACAATCAGGATAGGACTGACTGGCCCAAATCCCCTCCTGTGCCATTGATACCTGGGTGGCAAGGACTAACATCAACAAATGGACAGTTGGGCCTTCATCAGAACATGCAGAGTCAAATGCCCCCAAACAGAAAGGAAGACTAGAGAGTGGCTTCCAAATAAGAGTCTCAGATATCCACTGGCATTACCCACAGACCTCTGCTTCTTCAGGTGCATCCTTCCTGCTCTGATGGAGAGCACTGCAGAGGAAAGCCTCTATCCTCTCTGGCCACTCTGTTGGTCCAGAGGCACCCTGTGGGAGTTGTCTGCTGTAATCTGCATGCAGATCTTCTATCAAAACCCATGGAAACCTGGCTGCCAATGTAGCACTAGTGGAAGCTAGGTCCCTTAAGATAGATTAATGTCTGTCTCTTCAGGCTGGATTAGGTCTCACAAGAATGGGTTGCTTAAAAGCAAGTCACTTCCTTTGTTCTCCCTCTCTATGAAACCCACTCACTTCAAATTCTAATAACCTTCCATCACAGAAGGTCATGGAAGGTCATGACAGCATGGGGCCATCATCACATGTGGCTCCCAACCTTGAACACTTGTGCTTCCAGAGACTTGGGCTAAGTAACTTTCTTTTGTACATTGCTCAGGCTCAGGTATTTTGTTATGACACTGGAAAATGGACTGAAATGGTGTTAAAAATGTTCTCAACTTTGTGCTCACTGCTTCTGTTGCTTAGATTCCTCTGTCCCCCATCTCCAGGTTCCCCACTTCTCCATGAAGCCTTTCTATATTTCTTCTACCCGTACCTCCTTTTCTGGTCGTCTTGGGTTAAGACCAACACAACCCTCATCTCTTCTCATTTATCTTCTTGTTCCTTCAGAGTAGCAACAGGCCTTGCTGACATGTCTGAAGCACTAGCATCCCGTCCTCTTGTGAAGAAGCTCAGGACATGTAGGAGCACAAAGTTAGTTCCTTTGCATGATGTCTTCTGCAGTGACTGGGAGTGACAAGAGTTAACTAGGCTCAAGTTCAGGGAAGACTATGGCCTCTCCTCAGGCTGTCTGCTTTGCTCCAGTGTTCACCCTTTAACCTAGCACAGGGCTCACTGACAGAGACAGATGATTCAGGCAAACATTTTGAAGACTTATATTCAATGTAGAAAACACCTTAGAAACAAATATATGTGTGTTCTGGGTGGTATTTTTCTGTAAATGTCTATCAAACCTACAAATTCCTCAGCCTCAGAATATAGTAGAGCCAAAAAGCTTCTAAAGATTTTTAAAAGGATTAGCAATGCACATGAATAGGACCAGGTATGATAATTATTCCTGCAACAGTCTCTCAATGGGCAATTAGAGGATTAGCCATACAATTTGATCAAATGTTCAGGCCATTTACATACCGTACTTAACAGGTCTAGGAATAGATCTATTTGTCTTAATATAACAGTCATCCTTAAGAGAATCACTCAACTGAGTCATTTACCACCATTAATTAAATTGAAAGCACTGCCACTTGGAATAACACAGCAAAACATAATGATTTTTCCGTCTCCAACATCACAGAGAACCTCAGGCCTCCTTGGAATTTCACAACCATAAGGCATTAGTCCTGTGTGGATGGCGGCTCCAGATCAAAGGCCTTGCATATATACACACACTTTATGTACAATCTGGATAAGTCTTATGTAAGGAAAAATGGTATGACTAAAGGTTAATTGTAGAACTCCAAGGAACAATACTGGGAGAACTATTAACTAGGGTAGCAATGAAGACACAGATGTTCAGATCTTAAGAGCAAGCTTCCTGCTTTCAGCAAGTGAATCACCTACATTATGACCACAGCTCCCTTTATATGTGAACTCTGAGTTTCCCAGTCAAGATTCAGCTCGATACTCTGATTTAGCTATTTCCTTTACAAGAGACATTAACTTTGAAAATATCATGACTCTTTACTGTGATTATATATCTGTTCATTTGTTCCCTAAGGGCTTCATCAAAAACATTTGTTACTTCTTGGGCATTGCTTAATCCTTAGGACAAAGTCATGAAAGCCATAGGTCTCTCTGCTGTATTGGGGTTTGGGCTCCAATACAGAGTGGATGTGGTTGTTTCTAGCTTCGTCTATTGAAACTTCAGTTTATAGTCAATGTCACATTTGCTCATGAAGTTCTGTGTGTTGTGGGGCAAGGTGAGAGGCCTCCAGAACACCAAGTCTGTTTCTTCCATGGTATCTTGAAGGGTGGCCTGGAATACCTTCTTTCACAAGCGTTGGCCTTCTCCACCTCCAGCATAGGAGTTTTTGGGTTCTTGTCAGCCTAGAGTTAGAAAACAGACATGTTTGTGCACACTGTTCTTTCTGAGAAGAGGAAACTTCTGAGTCAGGGTCTGCTTCTTGACATACCCATGCAAAAATACAGCCAGACTACCCATGGGGCTCACTGGGGCTCAGGCGGTTAGGGATGTTTCTGAATCTTTTTGATGTTCTTGCTACCTGCAAGAAGTTCATGAGGAGCAAGACTCTAATCAGATTCAGCGGGGTCCTAATCTGCTCCATCTGCTGCCAGGATGACCTTGGGTGATGTTGGAGAAGGTTTTTCTATTTCTGTAAGCCTTCGCTTTCTCATTTTTTCTCTATTTAGTCATGGCAGGGTCATGCTAGGTTGCCTAGGCAGGTCTCAAACTTGCAATCCTCTTGCCTCAGCCTCCCAAGGACCAACATTCTACGTGTATACTGATGTCCCTGGCTTAGTTTTCTCATTATATGTTCAGAAACAAATGCTGGCCATGGACGTTCTTGGTGACATTTAAATTCAGTGTTTCCAAAAGGATATTCAGTTCAGCAAATATTTGCTGCTGCTGCTGCTGCTTCAGTGTAACCCCACAGATACTGTTGTCTGATTTATAGTGTTTATTTATTTGGGTTTATAATCATTCATTTTTAAGTTGACAAGTAATAATTGCACATGTTTGATTACTGTGTGGTAATCCTATGAATGCACATAACACTTTGATCAAACAAGAGTAATTAACATCTTACTTTCCTTGTATATTTATGTTTGGAGGCTGACACACACCTATTTGTACTCTTCATAAAACATGTAGCAGGCTGTTGTGCACTGTGTAGTCATCTCACGATGCTGCTGAGTTAGTACTGCCTTCCATGTTTTGTCTACTATCCAGTCTCTCTGCTTCCTTTACAGCTTTTAGTAATTCCAACTCTC